TCTCACTCGCGCGGATTGTGGACCGATATTTGCCCTACTCGCGGATGTAAGTGGGCGCGACCGAGAGAGAGAGAGAGAGAGAGAGAGAGAGAGGGAGAGGGAGAGAGGGTGGGAGGGGGAAAGGGCGAGCGACCCTACTACCGACAGACAATCTCGAAACTCTGCGCAAATAATCGACCGCCCCGTTACGATACGATCTGCCGGCCGCGGGCGCGTTGCGTTCCCGTCGCGTTCTTGCACTTGCGCGGCGAGCTCCATTAGGCGGGATCAATCTCGATCCTCGTTAAGAGGAATTGCCGCTATCGCGCTGTCGCATAAACTGTACTCGCGACTGCACCTCCCGTTGCGATATTCCGCGTCCGTCGAGATTAATTTCTGCCGATGCAGATACGGTGGAAGGGGGGAAAATCATTTTGCGACGACACGACTGTATCTCATCGCAGTGTGCGGCGGAAGGGTGGTTTCTTTTCCGTCAGTGAATCTCGCGACTGATTGATCATTAAGTAGCGCGGGAAGTTTGTTCTCCCCAGCTAATAGCCGGAAAAATAAAACATGTCGCTATTTTGCCGTCACGAACTGCACGTGCAGCCCCACAACCAACTCGGCGCGACAGAAGGCGGGCTAACGCGAAAATGCGATGCCCCTCTCCGATCTTACTCATTTGCAGGATTTTACGCTTCTCACGCAGAAGAAAGAGCAAAAGTAGAGAACAGAAACATTCGTTTCGCCCGACAGCGGTCCGGTCACTCGCACGGCGCGGCGGGGGAGCGGGCGGGCGCGTTAATTAACTAAAATCAGGTTCGGATAATCGGAATAAGCTCCGGCGCCGCCGAACGAGAGGGGGATTAGGCGTCTTCTACCCGAAATACTAATCCATTTGTTATACACCGAGCAGTAAAATCTATCCGCCCGGGCGCGCTCCTACGACGACGTTGTTATTTTAGGTGATATCTGAGACACAGCACAGAGAGTCGGAGACAACGGAGCAGACGGGCGAAGGGGGACTTTGGGTCGGGGCGAAGGAGGGCCAGGGAGGAGGGGCGGAGGAGGGGGGAGAGCGGCGAATAGATCGAGGAGAGGCAGAAGGAAGACGGAGGAGAACGGTCGCCGCGCACACAGGCAGGTTGTGGGTCGAGCCTTAGCGAGGGAAGCACCGAGGGCCCTCGAAGGTAATCTTGGCTCGTTCGCGGAGGGTTGCATTTTGATCCCCGGAGCTTCCGCCGCGGCACGATCTCTCCGCGCCACCGGCGTCCGGGCTCACGCATTTACTATAATTAGAACTCCCTAATTAACGAGCAAACGTCGCACGGGGCTGTCGTAATCTCGGGCTTGACCTTCCAGCGTCGTTTAGACGCCTTTTCTCGCCCCGCGTTTTAATCCGCCTTCCTTCACCTTCTCCTCCTCTCGCCACTCGCGCGCGCAGACGGAAGATCGAGAAAAAAGCGGAGGCAGCGCCGAAATTTATTCCGCCTGCTTTATTTTGAGATTAAAGGGAGAGATATAGCGGCCGCGCGATGCGCATTCGACGCATCGCCGAAGAGGCGTGCGATGTTTTATTCTCTCCTTATGCAAAAAGATTACGTTTCATGAAACTTTAAAATTATTATAATGTCGCGCGGCGCGTGGTGCTCGTCGCGCAGCGGCGTGCGACGACCCCGAAACATATTTCACGTCTATTCTCTCGTTCGGCCGGGGCCGGGCCTTCCTTTAAAAAGAAAGCTCGTGGACGAGAAATGATAACACGGCGAGCGTTCCTCGCGTTCCCACCGCACTCGGAATCACGCGGGACGTAATGTCAACCTCAGCACGCTCCCCGTACTGCTGCTGCTCGAGAGGCGCTCCCTTCCGTGGGACAAGCTGTTTTAAAATAACTTTAAAACATTGAGCAAATACTACACCGACGCTCGGCCATATTGAGCAGAAATTAAAAAATAAGCTTCCTAAGCCGCCACCCCGATAAATCTAACTCGTTAGAGGGCGAGAGTGGCGCTTTCCCTCTCCCCTGTCCTCTCTCTCTCTCTCTCTCTCTCTCTCTCGGGAGTATCAACGGGGAGCGTAAAACGAATTGTAACCTGCATCGGGGCACAACTCCCCCCATAGAATCGCTCGCTATTTAATTGTACGCCAATAAGCTTCCCATTGATATTTGAGATTTTATTCTAAACTCGGTTGGATACAAAGTATACGAAAAGCTGATAAAAGTACAGAAATTTCTGCAAGATATTTATTTTACAGAAATACGCCCCCCCCCCCGTCCTACTCGTGGCAGATGTACACGTATTCTCAAGGGGACTATTTCGAAAATGACTACGGTGAACCTTAAGGTAAGTCAATATTTTCTTGTATAATTGTAGTCTGAAAATTTTTAAGTAAAACCGTGTATTGCAAAGAATCGTCAAAACGTCGAGGAAAACTCGGTTTACAGGTTTTACTCGGTTTTGACGTAAAAGTATCATAGTCTGTGTGTGCGTGTGTGTGTGTGTGTGTGTGTGTGTGTGCGTGTGTGCGTGTGAGTGTGAGTGTGTGAGTGCGCGAGTGTGTGTGTGTGTGTGAGTGTGTGTGAGTGTGTGTGAGTGTGTGTGAGTGTGTGTGAGCGAGCTTGAGAAATTTCTCCTATCTCGGTTATCATAATAACGTTCGGATGCGCGCCCGAGAAATTTCTGTCCCGTCGCGCGGCTATTTTGTATAAAAATCACGAAACACAGTTTTAATAATTCTTGCCTCGAAGGGGCACGACTGAAATTAAAATGGAAATTACCTGACGCACGACATACGCTCCCACCGCTCGCTTATTATTCGCCCCGCGTGTCATTTGCGGCCTTGTCTATTTAGGTGAAACGACGCGAGGTGGAAGAACGTTGGGTCCGAAAGGAACGATAAAACCCGCCGGGTGGTGCCAGTGTGCACCGCGCTGATAAATATAACGTAACAAGTTCAGTGGAATAACAGCTTCATCCCGGAGGGATCAATGCGACTTTGCTTCGACTTTCACGCAGAATTTCCTTCTGGGAGAGAGCGTACGCGTGAAAGAATCGAATAGATAGGGAAGTTAGTTGAAACGTGGCCTCTGCAATATAGCGCGGCATCGTTGCGCACCGTCCGCTCCCAGTCACTGCTGAGGCAAAAAATTACATTCCAAGTATATTCCGACACTCTCTGTACGTGATCGATTAATTAAAATTAATCTTCTCTCGAGCATACTCCGTGCAAAGTTGTCGTAATTGGCGGCCGCTTAATCTCCGCGCCGCGGCGTCCTCATTTCATTGAACGATCCGACCTCGCCGCATTCGACCTTCAATCATTCGACCGTCGGTTTTATTACGAAGCGAACCCGCTGACTCGCGCTCTTTTCGGTTACAATTAGACGTGTTGTTTATCAAGTGCGAATATCGTCGTCGAATGGGAGAACGCGCAATTGATGCTTTTTACCGAAATTGATTGCGCCCGACGCCACGGTCCGCGACGCCGTTAATTTGCAATGACGAAGACGAGCCTTCCATTTCGTTAACGGTGGCGGCAAAACTACACGGCCGTAAAAAGTAAATTAAATAAGAATTAAATACAAATAAAACCGCTCAGCCAAGTAATTGGCTGGTAACCTCGCTCGTTGCCTGACGACCGCCTGAGATCGTTCTACCCTTATATCACCCTCGGCGCTTCCCTCTCCCGCTCCCCCCCCTCTCTCTCTCTCTCTCTCTCTCTCTCTCTCTATCTCTATCTCTCTCTCTCTCTCTTTCTGTCCGCCGCTCTACTCAGGGAAGAAAACGGATCCGCGTCAATAGACACCCGACGTGACGTAATCCGCGGAAAAATTACAATCTCATGAGCCGTCGAATTTGCGATTGAGCAAGGAAAGACGCGCGCGGCTTGTAACGAATTCGCTTGATAAATTTGCCGCAAATTGCAATAAATTCGCAACGACGCAAACATCCGAAAATCGTGATCGGTAATGAGGAGACAGATAATGAACCAAGGTATCCACTCCTGGCGCGATGATGAGGTCGACGCGAGATCGCGAATAGAGATCGAGCGCAAGTGATCGGCCCGTGGATCCGCCAAGACGCAAGTCACCGAGGTATCGGCGCGAAATTGCGAGGTTCGTCAAAAAGCGCTTCGGAGGAGAGCCGGTGGAACGGGGTCAGACGGCGGAGGATGGCGTACGTCTCGCAGGCAGCGAGGTGGAGTTTTCGCGATGAGGCGGTCGGCGGGGCAATCATGGCCGGATTAGACGTATGTATAAGGATCGTGCTGCCTACTCCGTGGCGAAGAGAGGGTGCTCTCTCTCTCTCTCTCTCTCTCTCTCTCTCTCTCTCTCCTCCTCCGTCTCTTTCTCTCTGTCGGAGGGTTGCCCGGGTCAAACGGGTCGCAAGATAGACGTTCGCGCGGGGTGAGAAGCATAAATGATATTCCATGAGGAGCATATGCGTGCGGAGATGGCTCCTCCTCCGCGGGCCCTCGGCGAGGGTGGCTGCGCTGTCACCCCGCTGGCAGCGGGGCGCTGGTTTATTACAAACAAGGATTACCCGGGTAATGGGACATTCTGTCCCTTCGGCTCACTGCCGAGCCGAGCGAGCGAGCGAGCGAGCGAGCAATGCGGACTTGGAGCGCACTGACTCACGCGCTTCTGCCTACCCGCTTCGCCGCCGATCTTCGGCCTGGCCGGCTCCGACTGTCAAAGGGGCGAGCACGCGGACGGCGAGCGTCGGGGTGATCCCCGATCGCGATAGCCAAGGCGAATTCGGGGAGGCCACGGAGTGAATTTGTCGGCATGATCAGATTAGCGCGGTACAGGACAATCGCGCGGCTCGGCCCGGTCACGCCGCGCGATTCAATCGCGCGCTTGCTCGCGCGAGCCGGCCATTTCCTCGATTCACGCGCCTCGGCCTCGCGCGAGCACGATGAATTTCGCGTCGCGAGCGAGTCGCCGCGGCGAGTTCCAAAGCGCAAATCTCGGCAGATTATGCCAATAGCGATAATGGTATTTGTAAAAGCGGGGGCTTCATTCGGCGAATTGCAGGTTTCAGCTTAATCCGGACGTTCTCCAAGCGTGCCGCTCAAACACCGGCCAAATCCGTGTTTAAATACTGTAAAAAGTTCCGTCGATTTTGCGACTGTATCCGGGATTCGATTGTTCCATATGAGGACTCTCGATATTTAATTTCACGCTGCTCGGATGGATTCTCCGCGGCAAAGCTGGCCCGCAGTAACAGCTCGTTTTATCCGCCAGAAAAGCTCCCCGCACCGCCGGTTTAAGCTCCTCGTCCTCGTCGTTCTGCGTCGGCCTGTCCGGTTTCGGCGTTTTCGGCGCGATCTGAAAATCACGAGATCGAATCGACCGATTATTCCCCGGCGCGCGCGCGCGCGCGTCCTTTACGACGTACCTTGATCTCGTTCCGCAGGACGCGCCACGTTTCCTTGCCGAGCGTCTCCGGCTGCATGGACACGTACATCTTCGGCACCAGAGTGTCCCGGCTGTGGACGTAGACGGCGTCCAGCGCGAAGTCGAGGGCGTCGTCCGGCACCTGCGGAAGTGGTTCATCAGACGCACAGTCGCAAGGTATCTCTCGGCTCTCGAAGCGGTACCTTCGGCCTGACCAGCCGCTGGTCCCTTCGGATGCTGTTGAGGGTGTGGTGAGCGAAGAGACGCTCGTGGGCGCTCAACTTGGCGTTCCAGTCCCTGTCCGACGGCGAGACTTTATCTCCCAACACGGGCCCGCTCGACACCCACGCTCCTTCCCGGGAGATGTCCGGCACAGGGTAAGGGTTTCGAACATGGAGTGCCTGCGCCATGTCAACCGGGGGGGACCTACCGGCGTCGCTTGAGGACATAAAGCACACTGATGCACGACATCATTTTCCAGTTGCTCGTTCCATAACCCTAAATCGTCGCGGGCCAGCGGCGAAGCTGAGAGTCGACGTAGCTTACCCCCTGAAGTGCGCGGGGACGTACCCAGAATTCATCTGTTAAAACGAGTCGTTTCAACTTTCGCGTCTTAGGCTTCCGGCTGACTTCCGGCTTGCTACCGCTCTCGTCGTGAATTGCTTTTCCCGATATTTGTCTTATGAACAACGTTCCTCAGGGAAGACACAGCTCTTGGCACGTCTCCCTGAAGAAGCAAACCGGAGCGCGCGTTCACGAGACATCGCGAGCCTCAGGTTTTTCACGAACTCATTCCGAAATCATCCCCATCGCTCCCGAGCGCTTCGCCTTCATATTTCCGCCGGCCCGCCGCCGGCGAAGGCGTGCTTTCATCCGTGCGCGAGCGAGCGCGATCGTTACTGTGTGTGACTCTCCAACTTCCCGTAAATCCATCGCAAACAATGCCAATCCGTTCGGCCGCGGTACTCGAGAGGCCGCATCCGGCCGCGCGGTCTCCTCCTCCGAGATTAAGACGCGACTTGGCCCGCAGCTGGCCGAAGGGTAACACTCGAGTCGAGTCGAGTCGACTCGCGACTCGCGCGGATCCCGAGACCCTCCTACGTAAACGAGAAGCCGACCTTAATTCATGCGAACGGCCTGCATCGCATCATCTCTCTCTCCACGGGGTGTCCACTTATCGTTCCTTCCGGCCGTTCTCGCCTTCGCGGTGCCACTTGGCGCCCTCTGAAAGGGCAGCGCCCATAAGTCGCTCGTGCGGAGACTCGCTCGCTCGCGTCGTGAATGAGTTTATTGTGAAATTCGGCCGAGGGAGAGAGAGAGAGAGAGAGAGAGAGAGAGAGAGAGAGAGAGAGAGACTCGCCACGAATAATACCGGCGCTCCTCGATCAGTCCTCGCTCGAATTCAGCCGGCTAGTTGATGCCGTATCCGGCCGAGATGAGTTTCATCGCGGGTATCGGCCGGGGATGCAAACAGAGTAGCCGGGCCCGGTAACTATGAGCCCGTACTTCATGGTGCTCTCAATTGTAACGGAGGAACATCGCAGAGGAGTATATGTATATGTATAGGTATACATCGAGCTCGAACCTATTTCAACGTGAATTTCCGAGTGTCGCTTCCGGGACGGGTTAGGTTGGACATCGCGAAATGTTTCCCGACGATTTCTGTACATTTGCTTATCGAAGCGAGGCGAAATATGCGTAAATCGAATCCCCCCCCCTCTCTCTCTCTCTCTCTCTCTCTCTCTCTTTCTTTTCGTTTCGTCGTGCAGCGTCGAGGGACTACCGTGTCTAATCTAATGATTTTTACGTCCGAGCAGCGAAACGTGCGCGCTCGAACGATTTAAAGCGTGTCTTACAACATAATTCGTACAACTCGCAGCAGTCGTTTCGTCTCATCGGATCCTCGTGGAATTTTTGCCCTCGTCGGGCGGCGAGGTGGAGCAGAACGGCGGGAGAAGAGGAAGAGAACGATCCGAGGAATCGCGAATCGTGCGGTCGAATACGCCCGGCTCTCCCCGCATTTAACGTGTTTTGCTCAGGAGGTGGTCGGCCACGGCCAACGCCGACGTCCAATATTAAACCCGCAGTAATTTATGTTAGCGCGAGCGTGCATAATGCTGTTTGTATAAAGCGCTACCGCCACGTGTCGACTCGTGCGCCGACGGTACGTATCACTCCCTCCTGTCCTTTAATTCCCGTCGCAGGCGCTGCGCAGGCAGGAGCAGCGAAATCCCGGGTGCTGGTACGTACGCATTCTAAATGCATTCTTACGCCTGGGATTCAGAAGTACATCGGCAGAGAGTAATATTCCCGGCTCTTCTCGCCGAAATCTACTCCCTGCGCCCGCGCCCCCCTCGGAGGGCCCAGCTAGAGATTCGATTTCAGCTTCCGTCGAGATCAAGCGAATTTTCGAGCTCGCGATTTATATCCAACCAGCAGACGGTTTCTCGATTTCACATCGACTGCGTGAACACTGAACAGTCGAACAATCGCGTTGTGTATCAATGTTCTAATTCCCCACTCAACGATGCATAACAATTTTTACACTAGACGCGCGAGTCAGACGTTGCATTTACGGTGCCGAGTGCGGAGCGTTATTGTCACTTGATGTTTACCGCTTGTCTTTTGATTGATTTGTAACCTCTGTTCTGAAGATTTGTAAACATTTTCACAATTCGCGAGCGCGAAATTAATTCGCGGGACGCGTCGTCGTCTTGCACGATGCGTCGACGCATCGCGGCGGCGGCGGCGGCGGCGACGGCCATTTATTTGCCGGCAGATGGGCTTATTACGCGCGACGCAGAATCGCTCGGCGAAGGGAACGGCGGGGACGAATCATCTTCCGCGTCATTGCTCGTTCAACCTCTCCTTCGGCGCATCAGCCCGGGCTACGACACGGGGAGACGACACGCGTAATCGCGTAATCGCGTAATCGTGGCGCGTGCTGAAGTTCGGGTTGCGGGAGCTTTGCGTGCGTCTACACTGGCGCACGTGCGACGTTGCGCGGCCTGAATCAACACCGATCGCGAATCGCACAGATCTATTCGCGAACGTCAAACGGACGGTGAATCCCGGCCGGCACGTTTTACGAGATAATCAGCGCAACGACCTGCGCCGGATTACCGGCGCGCGGTTATCATAAGCGCATCAAGTGCGAGCCGACCGAAATGACGGCGCTAATTAAGCGTGGCGCGAGCACGGGGACGATCGTGGGTAGAACTTTAGAATAGGGTCTTTTCCGAATTTCGATATTCATCTGCCATTCTCATGGTAACAATCTTTCTTGCGACTCCGACGGTGGTAATCAATCGGGGGAGCCCGAGAAAAAAATGTTACCCACTTATTTTCCGAACCATTTTTTTGGTAAATACTCAGAAGTACTATTATACCGGAAACCACGTTTTCTTGTTCATTAATTTACAAAACTAGCTGTAAAAAACATATATACAAAGTTTTACATATATATTGAGGGAGGGGGAGGGGGGCTAAGATTTATCTTTATAGGAAAGAACATGAAAATGTTATTCCATACATTAAAAAAAAAAATTTTAAATATCGATTTTGTACTGATTAAATACCGTTCACAGTTGTTACTCCAATCTTTCGCCTTGCTAAACAGATGAATCTACGATATACTAAAAATGGATACTGAAAAGATTAGCAAGACCCTTACGCAAGGTAGGACGTATCATAAATTACAAGCAAAATAAAGCAGAGCATTATTCACATTCACGTGCAATCTGTTTTAGACAGAAGCACAAATTTATATTATAAAGTCTAAATTATAGCGGAGAATAGTTTATGTCTTTGGTTTATTAAAGTTCATTGAGTTTTTTATACCTTTACTCAACAGTTTAAATTTGGTGCATTTTTCCTGCAGAGTTTTATAAGGTCCGAAAAATCTTGAAAAAAATAGGTCGGTAACATTTCTTTCGGGCTCCCCCGATTGATTATCATTGTCGTAGTCACAATAAAGATTTTTATCCGGCAAGTAGCAGAAATATATCAAAAATCGGAAAGAGCCCTATTCTAAAGTTTTACCCGATCGTGATTTCGCGTATCTCTCTCTCTCGGCCCGACGACTGAACGGAACGGGACGACATACAGTCTGCAAAGTAAGAGCGTGCACGGGTTGATGTGTAGAAAAATTTATTTTTAATGATTTTTAAGTACATGGATTTGTTGTACTCCATAAGAAGAAAAATGCTATACCATTAATAACGAGTCCAGTCACCACCGGCATTGATAATTGCCTGGCATCTCCGACGCATACTTTCCACTGAGTTGACTGCGTATTCGTTCGGTAAAGACCTCCAAATGAGACGAATTTGTCGTGTCAGCTGCTTCAAAGTGCACACTCTTTTTCCTCGAAGTTTGTGCTTGAGATATGCCCACACATTTTCAATGGGATTTGCATCCGCCGACTGCGATGGCCAATCAAGTGTGACGATGCCAGACTGCTCTTTCCACTCGGTGCAAAGCTTGTTCCGGTGTTTTGGGTCGTTGTCTTCCTATAAGATCCAGTCCTCGTTTTTTTTTATGAAGCATCGTTCAGCAGTCGGCAACAAACACTTCTCATAAATTTTAAGCATTAAGATCGGGTTCCGCTTAAACAAATTCACAATTTTTTTTCCATATTCGGCGTCACTTCGCCTATCGAGCCACGTTCTGGGCAAGTCATCGACATTTTTGACCTTCTTATATCGCTGAACTCACTTAGCGACGAACGATTTTGACTTTCCTATGTATTCAGCAGCCACTGCATATGACATTTTTGGTCATTTGGGGTGGGAACAAAGGAACACAGCCTCGTAGCGCGATGCGTATGCGGCACTCATGGCGGTTAACGTGTTTCTCAGGTTAGAGCTCGACGCCAACTGAATCTTTTGCGACAAAGCATTCACGACAAAGATTTCATCTATCGGCTCACAAAAAAACTAGGACGATATTCGAAGCCAACTGCCATTTATGCCGTGCACGCTCTTACTTTACAGACTGTATCATCGTCGTCTCTCTCACTACGACCAGCAGCAGCCGCGGTTCTCTAGAATTTATTCTCACTGCCAGGAATTATCCGTCTCAGCGCGAAAGAGACGCGACCGATGAGCAGCAGTCGAAACGCGATGAAAAGACATGTTTGATTCGCCGAGTGACGGTCCGCGCTCAACAAATTCCCAGCTCGCGACGTCTGACGGACGCGCCGCAATCGCCGTGAATTTATATCCGCGACGTCCTCGAAGCGTCACGTATCGGCGAGAAGGGCTCGACGACGTGCGACGACGAGACTGGGCGTTTCGTATCCTCTTTTCCTCGCCGGCGCGGCGACTCGCGCGATGTTTACCGTCGCGCACTTCGCAGAGCTGACCGAGTTCCTGCGGCGAGACCCCGCTGGTCTCCCCTGAAATCCTAATCCGGTAATATCCACGGGCCGATATACCGGCACATCGGTAATGGAATCGCGCATTCAA